TGTCCACCTACCAATAAGATACTAATTACTACCTATATTACCTATTAGCCCTTACAGGCTCCAAATAATGATTTATTCTTTAAAAAAAATACAATTTCTACATATGAGTGAAAGTGATTAATATATCAATATTACTGAACATGCAATTGGTTTTTCAAATTTGAGCACAGACTAAACTATTCTAGCTACTCATATGAAGGTCCGATGACTATGGCACCAGGAACCAAATTCCGATTTACAAATGTACTGCGAACCTACATCACCAACCATAGTATTAAAATCACTTGTTTGCTTAAATCGCAAGTTAACCAGGAGTTTAAAAGCAAAGACAATACCACAAAAATTCGCCATATCTTTATAAGAGAAAACGTTTCGGAGTTCAGCTCCATCGTCAGTTCATAACACAAAGTTCAGTTAACCTAATTTAAATTTTCTATAACAAAAATGTTCAACAATCCCATGTGCCCAGACTTTATGGACACCCTTTAATCAAGAAAGAAGCAAAGAAAACGGCCAAAATCAAGAAAAAGCAAAGAAAACGGCCAAAAAGTTCATCATTTCTTAAGAATGAAAATGTTTCGGCGTCCAGCTCCATCCTCGGTTTAAGACCTGTAAGACAAACAGAATCTATTAGAAAGCTGAAAATTAGACAATTAGAAAGTACTGTAATCTTCACCGAAAGTCGGCTAAGACTTCTTTATAGACATCAACTTTTTGGTTAAGTGCAAAGTTTACGGTGTTTTCCCTAAGTTTCTAAGGTTCAGACTCTACAAATGTTTTCTGCATACCTCGTCATTTTACAAGTCATGGCAGAATAAGCTCCTTTCCAAGGAACTGTCCTCCTAGGAGAAGACCTTGAAAATTTTTCCTGATTTGATCACCGAAATTGAAGCATATATGGGTTGGGAATTTATTCTTCATTCTTGATGCCTTTGCTAACTGTGGTCACACCAGACGACAGAATTTGCTGATTTATACGCGTGCGATTAGTGACCAGAGAATTCGTTGATTTAAATTATCTGAGATTCCGACAATTCTTCAGATGACGTTAGTAGATGGAAGTCGTTGGTAGAGTTGCTTGTTTGTAATGCTTTGAGAGCATTACAAACAAGCAACTTTGAGAGCAATTACAACAAGCAACTTCATCACAAGATTGTCGATGAATTCAACAGGCTTCGTGACAACAATGTCAAACTCCGAACTAAACGCAATAACGGCCCCTGCAAGAACACGGGAGTTATCCGAGAGGTCATTGTAGTCTATAAATTTTGCTTCAAAGAAGGTTGTAGACTTCATTTGGACTATATAGGACACATTGGATCAACAACCAGGACACCGAGCCGCTGTCACATGAGACAATCGCACAACCAGACCGTCACTCGCATTGTGCTGAAGAACCCGTCAGCATTGTCATCAAGCAGTGGCCTGACATCAATCGACCGACGATGGCTGACTTCCTCGCCTATGCGGATTGGACGCCAGCTATACCAACTCCTGACTACCGGATTTGTCTGAGCTTTGAGATATTTTTCAAAGGGATTTTTCTGGTTCAATATTTTACTGTAGATGTATTTACTGCAGATGTAAATTTTTACTATTTACGTATGTTATTTACTTATTTCTGCCAAAATTTATATATTCAATGCTTCTTGTAACTTGAAAATGAAGGTTCGTTGCATTCGAAACGTCGTTAATAAACTAAAAGTACCTAAAATTTACCTTTTGATCTACCAACGTCATTTGAGGAATTGTCCGACTCTCTGATAATTTAAATCAACGAATTCTCTTCTCACTATTCGTAACCGTATAAATCAGCAAATTCTGCCATCTACTGTACAACTAACTTTGAATACTTATTTTACAGACATTTAATCATAAATTTTGAGAGGATTTAATTAGTAAATAACGCTTCAATTGGTGAGTAAATTAACTTGATTTGCGAATTGCCGACAGCACAGTATCATCAGGTCGTCTGTTATCTGAAAAAGTGAAGTGCCCCACGTGTCCGCACAAAGATACAATTTGTTCAGTTACCCACCAAAATGAGCATTTAGCGCTACTTAATCTCATGTTTTCAGTGCTTGCGGACCGGACTCCTGTAGAATCGCGAACATTTATCATTACATAAAAGCAAATCATTCTTTACTATTTTTGAAGGCTGGCGAGGTGCCAGCCACTATTACCTCAGTGACTTCACGTGATTCATGAAAAACTTTCAATGTGAAGCTTTGAAGAAACAGGTATGATTAGTGTAGTGGTAGTGAAGAACCTGATTAGGAGAATCAGGCGGAAAGGCACGGAAAATCAGGTAAATCAATTCCAAGCTGTCAAGACAACACCGGCCGCTCATGCACGGTCAGTCAGAGGAGATGGAGGACTAGTAATTAGTAGGAATGATGTCCGTAGATCAAGGCCTGTAAATAATGTAGGAAGTAACCGCATTCATCAAATTGAAAGTGCACAAAAAGTTTTGAAATGTTTTACACGAACTCGGATTCCTTTTTTAACAAAAAAGTGAGCTGTTAACTGTGATCACAAACGAGTGTATAGACATTATTTGTATTACAGAAACCTTGGTATCCTTGGTATTTGTTTGGGGCCTCACTACTACATGTACGTGCTCGTAATATTCCAAAAGCCATGGGTCAAAATTAGGTAGATATTCCCAGTGGGTTCACTTAACGAATGAATTATCCGAGCCAAGTGTTGAATAACTTTTGATTCATAAAATTTTTATCGGTCGATTTCCATGCAGTTCTGTTGTCGGACACAGTCGGAGTGATGATTGGAACAACAGAAGGAAGAAACATATGGAGTTGATGTCGTATAAGTATTATAATGACTTGCAAAAGAAACACAACTTTCTGAGCACATGATTCAACAACAGGTTGAAATTTTTTAACGAAATTCGTAACTGCAGGCACTACCAAACTTCATTTGCTGAGCTCACATGCATCATGTCAGCAATTCTGTTTTAATGCTACATCGCGTTCTTGTCCAACAAAATGCCTGCCTAGTTCAGTGCCAATTTCTCGCTTAGTCACCATAATTAATGCTTCTATGTAAAAAAAAAATATGTATTATGCCACTATTCTATTTAGTTTTGATTCTAAATATAACCGATGACTATGTAGATTAAATGTTGTGAAATAAGAATAGTTTAGTTTTGTGTGTAATCGTTTTCTATGACAATGAGTTACTTAAACCGTGTTGTGCAGCAGTCTCGGGCCGCCATCATATTTCTTATACATGAATGGATTGCATAAAAATAAACTTTTCGTACTAGAAATGTTTTGAAAACAGTAATTTCAACTAGACTGTGGAACTGAGATTTTCTCATCGTGGTGGCACATGAAGCTTGCTTGACTCAGCGGACTGGCTGGGCAAGCGTAAAATTCTTGTACATAATTAATGGGATTTACACCGGGAAGCCAATTTATATATTTAGGCCGTATTAACTTTCGCGCACACATGTTTACTTAATTTTGTTTATCTAAAAATTAGAAATTTTTAGGTACATTAATATTATCCTCTCTTTGACGCGCTTCACCTACCGCTGCTTCATGAAGTAATAATGAGAAGAATTATTCGCGGATCTTCGCTGGTTTGTGAGTTTCTGAGGAAGTTGATCGGCACATTTAAACGCCCACGGAACTGGATTGGCAGTATGAGTTCGAGAAAGTTTTATAAACATTTAAAACATGGGTAAACTACCACAGGATCACAAAATAATTACTTGGGTCGATCAATCCCCCATCGCGGATTCGCCTATCGAGGACTGGAACGTAACACCGCGATTTGTGTCGGATTTTGGATTACTGCATCGTCCTTTATGCATTATTTTTGAATGTATGAAGAATAAAGATTCAGCCCGCTTACAAGCAATATCGATCATTCGAAAAACAATTTTGATCACATGTTTCGCCTGACAATTTTTCATGAGATAATTAAAATACACATGACGACAATTCAATGCAAATTAGATGCCAACATCTGCGTCATTCAAGATATATTCTCCTTTTAAAAACTTTTGCTTGTGCAATCTAGGAACTTTTATCCTTTGAACAACTTTTACATCTCCAGTATAGTTAAAAAAAATTAATTACCAACAATTCCATAATTGCCAACATTTCCATGCTTTGATTAAAAAAGGAAACAGTTCATGTCGCAAATTCAAAGATATCAAATCTGCTACGAGTATGACAAAATGAAGAACTGATGACAAAGACATAATATAACAGAAATTGTTTACAATATTAATAACATAAAAGCTATACAGAAGTTAAATTCATTTATTAACATGACAACGTAATTTTTTGTATGTATTATATGTCAAGAATTTACAGCTACATGTAATTTTTAAATTAAATTAATTCTAATCTCACCCATTGACATTTTTACATTGTATCTCATCGAATTAGTTTCTATATGGAATATGAATATAAAAAACGGTTGCGTCACTAACTTTATAGTTAAATATTTAAGAGTGTTTCTGGAAATTTCTATTCTCACGGTCTCACCTAGGATCCAGTCACATAAAGTTATATTTGCTATTTGCTGCATTTATATTGCTTCTATCATTCATACCAAAGTCAAGGCTGCACGAACTTTCATAACTGTAAGCCTCGTGCAAGTTAAATGCTTAATTTTGTAATAGACCCTTCTCAAACTCGCCTGCGAACTCGTCTGCGGACTGAAAAGCAAAACTAACTTCTCGCTCAACCGAACTACTCATACGTCCTTCAAAACTGAAATGATCTGCTTGCAATTTGGAATATAGGTATTTATTATCATTGCCCTGTGATAGAAACAATTTCATATTTTAGCATTATTTCGTTTACAATTAAAACGAATAGAAGCAATTTTTATGCAGCCGAACAGCTCATAAGTCCTTCAAACCTGAACGGATCTGCATGAAATTTTGAATATAAAAACTACACCAGCGAAGCGGAAGGTCTAAATATTTAAAATTTCTCAAATCAATAGGCTAATCACCCATAATGGACGGGAAGTCTCAAGTGCGGGCTAGCGAAGCTGGTACGAAAAGAGTAGACGTTAGCATAACAACTCAAAGAGACCAAGAGACAATTGAGAGATAAGAGAAATGCTACGGAAACGGAGACACCCGTACAACAGGTAAGGCACAAGTCAGGTGCCAATTTCTCCACTAATTTACTAGAAAAAATGCTTCAGAAAATAATATGATCTATTTGTATCTGTTTTAGTTAGTATTGATACCGCCGACTGTGGAGTTTGATCGCGGTGAGGTAGTATAGTTTAGTTTGGCATACAATTGTTGCACGATACGATGAGTTTTTTGTGATGTTCAGTGGTTTGTTATGTTTGAAATGTTGCTTAATGATTGTCTACTGGTGCAAATAACTTTAGTTTTGAACCCTTATTCGTCAATGAGACTGTTATAGGGTTGAGAGATAGGAATTAGTAACGTCACAGCATGGACCGTGACGGATGGTAATAGGTAGTAATAAAGAGTGGCGGAAATTTACATTAATTAATAGAAATACTGATACTAAACTTGTTTTCTTTCTCAGTGTACCTAAACTCGCTTGCGGCTCTGAATATGTTGCAATTAATAAATGGACGAAACACAAGCTTGTTCCACTGTTCAGGCCAACTACGTAGTGCGTAGGTTTGTAATCTGAAAATGAGATGCTGAAAACATCTCACATAATTCCGTACATAATTAGGACAATATACATAAAATAGTTTTATATGTTACATAATAGTTTTATAAGTTTTACCGCTGTCTTCATGACCATTAATCCCCTAGAAGGTGATATGTCATGGCTCAGTTGCATAGTTCTGATTACTTCTAATCTAATTGATTTGAAAATTTTTATATTCCAGATGTTGTATGACTTCTGCGCGTAGAACTCGATGTTAATTACTTTATTTTTATTTCCAGGCGGGTGCTCCTGATGGAGAACAATTCATAGCTCCAATGCCCGCCAAATTCCGCCGCCATGTTTAAGTGAGACGACGCGGCTTCGTCGTGACTGAACCCATCGTGGAGGGGAAGAAGGTCAAGGCAGAGATTGTGCGCATCCTGCAACGCAATCAAATCAAGCATTTCCATCAGGTCGGGGTCTGGCCCGAGGCCTTCAAGTCCACAGTCTACATCGACAACTCTTTCGCTGCGCAGAAGAAGAGGTATCGACTCACGAACGAAAGCGACCGCGGTGTTGTGCACGGTGAAAAATACTTCTTTATGGATGGGGACGACTGCCGGCCGGTGATGAAGAATAAGAACCGAGATTTTATTGACGGCGTGACTTCATCATTTGATGAGTTAAGACTTGACGTTGGCCACCACATTGAACCCAACTATAATAAAAAGGCCGTCACTTATGTGATCACTTCGGAAGTAGATAATAATGGCGATGAAGAAAACAGTGACGATGAAGAAAACAGCGATGATGAAGAAAACAGTGACGATGAAGAAAACAGCGATGATGAAGAAAACAGTGACGATGAAGAAAGCGAAGACGATACAAGAGAAGAATACTCAAATATAAATGCTTCCTATTCCACGAACGTTAATACATTAACAGTTTTAGAGGCGAGTTCTAGGCGAGCCCAGGGCCGCCGCGCAGGAGGCGCAGCCTTCAGCTTAAGATCCTTCCGTCAGAGATATTGAGTCCTGCGTCGAGTGAACACATCAGGGGCTACTTAAAAACTCAGTCGTGAATTTTACAATATTTCAATGTTATAATATTTTTAGTGCGCCAAAAAGCTAAGGTTTCATTTCACGGATCATTTGATGTGATCATTTTTGTCATCAGCATCGACTAGGGCTTCATTCCTTCCATTAGGTGACCAATCTTGTCATAGGCTTAATGTTCTTCGTTTATTAACATTCTGTTGAGGATTATTCAGATTTCAGAATGCACTTTTTTATAATTGTCAAATATAAATAATTCAGTTTCTGATTTTCCGTCAAGCTCATCTTTCACTCTACAGTCGTGTAATGATTTTGTACGATGACATCGGGTGATTAAATAAAAAACATAACTAAAAACAATCTTTCTCTTGATTCCGCGTAAGCTAGAAGTTTCATCGTTTCATCAAATTTAACGTACTATTTGTCCAACTTTTATTGTTTCTATTATCAAATCGTTGTTATTGTCAAATTTATTTATGCTATAAATGAGGCGTCTGAAAGAAGATAACTTTCATTGATTTAAAGTTTCAATAAATTGCACCTGGTCCCAATAATGTTGGCTGCTGGATTGAGGCCTCGATCCATCAGGCCGGCTCCAGCTATGTTGGTCACAAGAATATTGTAGGGTAAACGACTCAAAACATAAGCATCCAATTAAATATATTATTCCATACCCGTTCAATTTCCACGCGTAAATTCTTTTAACTTGAAAAAGACTGTATTAAACACTCTGTATACAGAATGAAGCACCAGAGTCGTGAATTATAATTCTGCTCAACACAATCGTGAAGAAGTGTTCATAGAAATTTGTTCGAAAACAGTTGAGGGTAGGAAGTTTGATTAGGAAAATATGCGTCGAAAAACTTTTTTTAGAGACAACACTTCTAAAGAATCCAGTGTCTCCGGTGTTACACATCTACAATGAATTTCTAATTTTATTATGCAATATGAAAAAATTAATTTCTTAATTCTATTTTTTTAATAAAAAAATAAAATTTTCAAAATTATAAATTCTGTCAATTGATTCATGCATTGTCTCCAACTTTACACAAGTGTGCACAATTTCAGACCGATTGGAGAGGTAGAAGCGTGTTAAATATCGATTATAAGATTTATAGCAGACAGACAAACAAACAAACAAGAAGTGGAGTTAAAGAGAAGAGTTGCAAAAAATGAACAGTAATTTAAGGTCTACGTTCACTGGAAACTGACAGTAAATTCAAGAGGAGATATTGTTAATTATATTAATTTACAGCTTACAGCATAGAGAAAAAACAATATTGTACGCGAATAGTACGTTTTAAATTTCTTTGAATACTCGGTTTGTGACAACTTGACTTGACTTGACTTGACAAGTTAGACGCTTGATGCCTTTCTCAGAGACCTGTTCGTCTCTCCGAGACTATACTAACTTTGTAATATTAGCAAAATTCGGGGGCGGCTGGGTTGCAAAAAAAAGTTAGCGTCTAGTTCTGGCATGATGGAGCATAGAGAGTAGGCAGATGAAGCCAATGTTTATCGAGGCGACTCTTGAAAGTATCCACAGATGGTGCTTTGACGACATTCTCTGGCAAGCTGTTCCAGTTTGTGACAATGCGCTGAGAGAAAAAGTTACCTCTAATGTTCAGTCTGAAGTGGCTCTTTTGGATTTTTAGAGAATTTCCGTGGAGGTCTCTCGCTGTAGCCATCGCAAAACTTGGGCGTGAGACATCATATAGTAGCCATATAGGTATTTATAAACCTCAATCATATCGCATCTCAGCCGGCGGTGTTCCAAGCATGGTAACTTCAACGTCTTGAGCCTATCTGAGTAGGGCTTGTCTTTTAGTGATGCCAAGAGTTTTGTTGCTCGCCTCGATCTGGACGTCTTCTATATCACTACATAGAGTCTTGTGTGCTGGTTGCCACACGCAGTGCCCGTACTCAAGAAGTGGGCGTACCAAGCTCTTAAACAGTTGAACGAATGTCTTTTCGGTTAGGTGATCAAAGGTTCTGCGAATGATGCCGACGACTTTGTTTGCCTTTGCTGAGCACTGAGCGACATGCTCCTTGAAGGATAGCTTATCGTCTATTATCACTCCCAGATCCCTCTCCACTTCACCCACCGCTAATTCCAGTCTCTCATCTTGTTTATTCATATAGTAAGTGCCTCGGGACTTCTGCCTGCCTAGTTTGATCACACTACACTTCTCAGGATGAAATTTCAGTAGCCACCTATTTGACCATGCCTGCAGATGATCAATGTCCCTTTGGAGGTTGTTGATGCCGTCTACCTTGTCTGTTCTTGCGAAGAGTTTTGTGTCGTCTGCAAACATTCTTACGTTGCTACGTACGCCATCTGGAAGATCGTTAATGAACATTACGAACAAAATTGGTCCCAACACAGACCCCTGGGGAATCCCGCTCGTTACATCGGCTTCCTGTGATTTCGCTCCATTAACGATCACTGTCTGCTTTCTGTCTGACAAAAAGTTGTGAATCCAAGCAAGTACGTTTCCTCTGATGCCCAATGCTGATACTTTCGCAAGCAATCTTCGATGAGGGACACTATCAAACGCCTTTTGATAATCCATGTATATTACATCCACTGTTCCGCCCTCGTCAACAGTGCTTGACCAAATGTCCATGACGTCTAGTAGTTGGGTCACGCAGGAACGTCTAGGTACAAAACCATGCTGATGTTTGCTAAGTAGGTTATTCTGCACCAAGTGTTTCAGGACCTGCTCCCTAACCACTTTGCACAGGATGCACGTTAAACTTACAGGGCGGTAGTTGTTTGCTGCTGCTCTGCTTCCCTTCTTGAACACCGGAGTTACCGCTGCCTTCTTCCAATCTGCAGGAATCTGTCCTTTTTCTAGTGAAAGTTTGAATAGGCATGACACTGGTTCCGCAAGTTCATCTGCTGCAGTCGCTAGTACGATAGGAGGGATTCCATCTGGTCCTGATGCCTTGCCAACATGGAGGCCAGCAAGCTGTTTTCTGACTTTATCCAAAGTAACTTCAAAGTTTAACAATTCTTTCTCAAACAAAGCCTCAGCTGGCTCGGGGATTGTGTCCCCAACTTCCTGCGTAAAAATGATCTGAAAGAAATCATTTAGTAGATTGGCTTTTTCCTGGTCATTTTCTGTTTTTCTTCCGTCTTCCTTGATTAGGTCGGCTACTCCACTACGACTCTTGGTTTTGGATTTGACGTACTGCCAGAACGCCTTTGGGTTGGTTACATAGGTAATGTAGCCAATTACCATCTTTATCATAAACATAAACCATGTTCTCTATTCTACTCATCTTCTCTTTCAATCTTTACCTACTTTTTCTGTACTTCTTTTGTTTTCCTTTTATTATTATTCCTGTTGCTATATTGGGCTATTGGGGTTTGCATTTGCCCTGGGTTTGTTTTTTCACTATATTGACTATAAGACTATAAGAGACACTTTTTTGTTTTTTGTTGATAAGTTCTTACCATGAAAGATTTCATTAACTAGTTTTGGCTCATTTTAAAGGTCTTTGCGACTTGCATGGGCTATTGAATGGCATCTCCGAAAAAATTCCATATGCTATACATAAGGTGCCAGATGCAAAATAAAAGCATCCTGAATTACCCCTGAGAATGGGGTAATTCTGGAGGCTTGAAGTTGAATTGAAATTTAATTTAAAAATGTTTCAAGCATACTGAATCTGAGTGCAGGCAGAGTGTACTTATCCATGAGACCATTACCATCAAATGGGTTAATAAGGGACAGTTTTGGGTTTTTATCATTAATAACTTCTTACCTTTAAACATTTCATAACTAAGTTTGGGCTCATTTTAAAGCTCTTTGCAATAGCTATTGAATGGCATCTCCAAAAAATTCCATATGCTATTGCCTATTCATAAGGTGCCAGATGGAAAATAAAAGCCTCCATAATCTCCCTTGGGAACGGGGTAATCCGGGACACTTGAAATAAACTCAATTTTAAAATGTTTGAAGCATGCAAAGTGTACTCATCCATTACTAAGTCTAAAAGGACTCTGAAGTCCTCCTCTTCCTTTGTAGATGATGTAGATGTAGAATAAATAACATTTTCTGTGTTTTTACTTGTTTTTCCATTGCTGATATGATAATGATATTACCATATCCATACATAACTGTATTATTGATGTGATATTGCCGTTCCCATGGACAAGCCATTGTGCATTTACAATGACCTTGTCCACTGCAAGCTTCACATCAGCAGCCATGTATAATTTCTTCTGTATCTGTAAGCTTGCAGGACGGCTTGTAATTTCACACCATTTTAATTGGGTCAAGTGAATTTGCTATAACAAAAAAAGGTCATAAAAACATACCTGATATTTTAATGCCAACCATAATATTTTTGGAGAAATAAATCTTAGTTTAGAATAATTACTTTTCATGCTATGTTACCTGGTGTAAAATTCTATCTATGACATTCTATGCACAGTTTTGTGATGACCAATGATACATTAATTTCATAAATCAAATTTGAATGCCACTACCTGTGTGCAATTTTGATGCAAGTAAAATTTTTTAATACAGTGAATATTTTTTTTGCTACAGACCTTAGCAGAGTTACCTACTTTTCCAAAGTCTCACTTTTCACACTTTTTTCAGGGATTTTGTAGAGGTAGTAAATGTATGATTTCTTAATTTGCTTTATGCTACATAGATAGTAAAAATGTTGAACTTTATGCGATTATTTTTGTTTTGAAATATTTGGATTAGTTTAGCTGCCACAACACTTCTACGAAATGTGGGATGCCTGTCCCAATTTACTCTGCCCGTCCCTTATTACCCAGTTTGACCGTACTAACAGTCCTCCAAAGTCTTCCTCTTCCTATGTAGATGATGTAGATTTGGAATAAATGATATTTTCTGTGATTTGTAATGTTTTTCTTTTATTGATAGCATTGACAATGACCTTTTCCACTGCAAGCTTCATATCAGCAGGCATATAGCATTTCTTCTGTATCCGTACTCTAACAGTGCTGGGCTTGTAATTTTGCACCATTTTAATTGAGTCAAGTGACTTCACTATAAGAAAAAAAATCTTAAAAATCATACCTGAAACAGAATGGAAGTATATTTTGGTGAAAACCATCATATTTTTTGGAGAAATTCATAATAGTTTAGGTCAATTATTTTCAATTCTATGTTGCCAGTGGACAATTCTATCTATGTCAATATAGGCACAATTTTGTGATGACCAATGATGCATTAACTTTTTGTTAAGTGAAATTTCTTGCTGAGTGAGGTGAATGTAATCAAAATTATTTATTGTTGAGTTTTTTTGTTAAATGGAGCCTTTGTTAACCAAGGTTCTACTATAAACGCGTTTTTAGGGGTGCCCAATATTACTCTGGGGGGTGTCCTTTTTTACCCTGTCTTGCGGAAATGGCATCCATTTTGTTTTGGATTGATGTACAAAAATTCTGTCAATGAAATTGCAAAGCCAACAAATGGCTGCAACTTTTTTCAAGCAACATTTTTTGATATGGCAAATATTTTTTTCACTACCCACCTTAGCAGATGTAGGTACCTTTTTGAAACATCACTTCTCACCATTTTTTAGTGATTTCTCAGAGCGAGTAAATGTATGATTTATTAACTTCCTTTATGCTTCATAGATAAACAAAATGTTGAAATTTATGCCACTCTTTTTAGTTTTGTAATATTTCAATTTGTTTTAATGCTATACATAACAGCCATGGCAAGGACTGTCCCGATTTACCTCATTTCATGGTATATATCCAAAGCTTTTTACAACCTCATAAGGATTGTTGTTAGATTAAAAATGTTATTAAGAAGTAAAATAACTACACAACCTGCCTTTTGATCTACCAACATGACAAAATCTTATTGACTGAAAACTTAAATTTCTGCCAGCCATTCTCTGGGGCCGGATTATCAAAACTTCGTAACTTTTTGTACTTACGACAAAAAAGTTCTGTGGTACGTAAATACACCCTAATTTTGGCATTATCAAAACTTTCGTATGCAAGTCTGAGCTAAAAGCCTAAATTTTTTTCCCGCGCAAATTTTTCCCTCACAAATGTTATTATAATACCACCGCTAGTATTACGTTGCCATAGCAACGCCACTCGTAAGTCGATTTTGCGTACCTACGAAGTTTTGATAATACGGCCCCAGGTCATTAACCTGTTAACTTTGAAGTTGTACCACAGAATGTATTTCTCCAGGAAGTAGTTGTGCATAACTCAGGGTTGCCAGATGGCCTAAAAACGGCCCATTCCACAGACAACAAAGGCCTATAACTCAATATATACTAGTATATTTGTAGGTTCTGGTATATATATTCCATTTCATTTTCTTTTGTTCCAGTTTTTCAAATTTAATTAGGAAGTATCACTATCATAAATTTTTCCTGGACAATGCATTGAAAAAACTAAATTGCAGCATTTATCTGGAAAAAATGGCTGTCTGGCAACCCTGTTTCAAAATGGTACAAAAACTGAAATAACAATACATGATGAAGCAATGACAGTCAATGTGTTAAGCAACCTGATTTAAAAATTATTCAGCCCCTTGAATTGTCTCATATGCTTCTATTTGATGTGTGCCTAAAGCATTGAGTGATAAATACAGTGTAAGAGAGTGAATTTGGAAGTTTAATCATTAGTCTTGGAATTTGTCCAGGACATACTGGCACATAATAATATTAATAATAATAATAATAGTGGTTTCAGTGTTTATTAGGTCATAGGGCTGTTGCCAATTCTTAACATAGCAGAACATTCACAGCTTGATGCATTCTTGAACACACAACAACTTGCTGCTCCAATTCTGCTTTGCTTAAACGCCCAGCCTCCTTGCTAATTCTGACCAGAAACTAGTGCACAGAGCTGGGATCAAACCCCCCACCTCTCTGCTCCAATCCTGGCACTCTCTACTGTAACCACTGGGCAGTGTAACCACATTTATGTCTTATTTAAAATATTTTAAGACTTTACTTCGAATAAATTTTATCAAACGTGTGACAAAATAGCGTCATTCTCTATATTTTACAGTGTACTAGAAACAAAATGGTTAATAAAAAATCACCACCTATCGTAAATTTGCGTATTCTATTGTAATGAAAAATGAGTTTGTCACCATCTGATTGGAAGGTTAGGCAAATGAGCGATATGTTGATTATAGTACGTATTGTTGTTGTTCAACACTGCATTTTCAAACATAGCTAGAACTTTGCTGTTGAAGTAAAAATTTGCTACCATGCCACACAAGGAAATGTATTCACAAAACAATAAATTTTCAGTCATCTTTTGTTTATCATCCATCATCAAACCCAGAATTGCCATATATATTCAAGGAAGTAAAAGTCACTTTCTCTAAAAGCTGTTGCTACCAAATCTTGCAGTTTAATTTATTTAGTCAGTTAAACAATTTGTTGCTGCTTTTTTTATTCA